CAAAGCGAGCGGCGCTCACTCACTGGGGCACCGCCATGTTTCCCCGCATCCCTACCGAGCCAGTCACGTGATCTCAAAATCCCTCTCCTAGGTACTGCGGCTAACTTTAGCCGCGGTTTGCACTTCGAGCAAACGGGCCCTGATGTTCTCTCCGCTCGGCGTCTACCCCCTAAGAAAACCGACAAACCTGGCACTGCTACATTAATTTTGGTCAGCTTTGCGTCGGTTTCCCTAAAGGAACAATGGATGGGTTGCCGTGGGCGACTGAGGGAACTCAGCCACGCCGGACTGGCACCTAAAATATTTTTCAACGAAAACCTTTCTCGGTCTAACCGTGAGCTTTTCTGGAAGGCGAGGATGAAGGGAAAGGAGAAGCAGTACAAGTACATTTGGACGAAAAACGGGCAAATCTATGCAAAAAAAAGCGACGGCACAACTGTCCTACGGATTGCCTCCGTAGGGGATATTGAAAAATTGGTTTAAACCCTGGCAGCTACATTTGCGCAGTATAGTAACTTCTTGGACTTTCAGACTTCGCTCGACCAAAGAAAGGAGAGCACTTTTACATGTTTGCACGTGAACATACGAAGCCTCCGCAAATACTGGGATAATTTTCGAATAATAGTTCGAAACATAATGTTTCATTCGTGGAAATGGAGCGTGCTGGTTAAGTTACGGTGTTTGTGGAGAATAACATAGAGGACGAAAACAGGACGACACGTTTCTCGTGTCGTCCTGTTTTCGTCCTCTATGTTATTCTCCACAAACACCATAATGTTTCATGTCGATGCGTTTATTTTTACAGAAATCAATATTCCGGAGTTCATGCTGTGTCAATACACCCTTTCAGACTACAATACCTTTTTTTCCACACGATCGAAACGAAGTGGCGGTGGGATTGCGGCTCATATCCATCAAATATGGCAGGTCTCTCACCTCGATTTAACTTTTTCTCAAAGTGAGGTCCTTTCCCTAAATCTTGATAATTCGAATTTCTCAATTTCTCTACTTTGTTTTTATAGGCCTCCTGCGGAAAGTGCTCGACTGTTTCTTGGTGAGCTTGAATCAACACTTTGCAATTTCTCCTCTATGCAATGCCTTTTTCTGGTAGGCGACTTTAATATCGGCATATTAAACACAACGAACCCTATTGTGTGTGACTACTTAAACATTTTATCTAATTCTGGTTTGGAATGTGTTATTTCGGCCCCAACACGAGAAGAGATCTTAGGGACCAAATTAGTCTCTTCATGCATTGACCACATTTCCATACGAACACCGAATGGTCAAGTGGAATCTGCTGTAATTCTCGAAAAGTTATCCGATCACTACTTCGTGGCATGTCGACTAACAGATGATTTAGCTTTCAAACCTGAATGCGGAGCTTCACGACAAGTCCAGATTATTGATATTGTTTTGTTTGACAAATTGGTTGCCTCATATGATTGGAAAGGCTTTCTGGCTTCAGTTAACACTACCAACGTGTATCCAAGGTTTGTGGAGGCTTTTAAAAACTTTACCGAATCAGCAAAAAGAACTGTAATTCTAAGCAGACGCAGACCTAACCATCAATGGCTCAGCTCTTATATTCTTAAACTAATTAAAGAAAAGGACCTTCTTTGGAAACGATGCCGGAGGTCTCCTAATAACAATGATTTGCGTAATGAGTTTCGACAAGTTAGAAATAAGGTAAACGCAGTAATTCGCTCTGCAAAGCGAAGATATTTCATATCAAAATTTGAGGAATCAAGGTTTAGCTCGGCTAAGACATGGTCGCTGATTAATCAATTTCGAGGTACTGGTGCTGAGCGCTCCATTGATGACGCCCTTGAAAGAAATTTTGGTTCACTCACATTCTCACTAGCCGACGATTTCAACAACTTCTTTGCTAAATTTTCTGGCGTGTGTAGAGACCCAGTTGATAACCCGTGCGCATTGAGTGGTACGTCTTTAAAGTCAGCTTTCCTTCTTTCTTTAAATGAGATTGATCTCCATTCTATGTTGTTTAGTTTTAAAGCAAGCAAGTCCCCTGGTGCTGATGGCATTCGCGCATATGATCTGCAGAGAAATTTCACACGAATTAAGGATGTTCTTCTAGTCATGCTTAATAGCTTTATTACTTTTGCCAACATACCTGATGGCCTAAAGGTTGCCATCGTTAGACCCCTCTTCAAAGGAGGCGCCCGATCGAAAATCGAGAAGTATCGCCCTATTTCTTTATTACCAATTTTAGGCCAAATTCTCGAGAAACACCTATTTCAGTCGATGTATAGATTTTTGGATACAAATGAAATCTTCTCACCCACTCAGTACGGTTTCATTGCTGGAAAAGGCACGCAGCCAGCCCTTGACGATTTTTCTGACAACTTATATTCCACATTTGAAAATAATATGTTCGCATGCGCGCTTTTTCTTGACGTGTCTAAGGCCTTTGACACTGTCAACCACCAACTGCTCCTAAGGAAATTACATCGCCTGGGTTTTCGTGGACCTTTTTATTCCTCACTAGAAAACTTCCTTTCTCACCGTTCTCAACTCGTGTCAATCGGTGGCTTTAGGAGTTCTCTTCTTTCTCTTAAGGCGGGGGTGCCTCAAGGTTCAGTGTTATCACCTCTACTTTTCAACATTTTTGTTAATGACATGGCTAGCGTCGTCAGTGGATGCAAGCTCCACCAATACGCCGACGATACCCTTCTTGTGTCGCGTCATATTAATTTCCATGACTCTTTCAAAACACTTGAAGAGAATGCTACCCATATAATGGACTGGTTTGCTGAAAACATGATGGACATTAATAAGTCTAAAACAAAGCTAGTTTATTTTCGTAATCCTCTCAAAAGCCACCCTACTAATGTAAAGTTTATTCTTCACCGATCTAAATGTGATCCATGTACATGTATACCAATTGAGTCGGTTAATCATGTTAAATACTTAGGTGTTTATTTTGATTTTGATATGTCGTGGAACACACATATTTTATACTTATGTAGCAAAATACGAGCTGTATCTTGCATGCTTTACAACACTAGAGTCTTTATACCAGTTGGTGTAAGGCTGCTGATAGCTCACGCACTTGCTTACAGTGTCATTCGGTACGGCGTAACCGTTTTTGGAAATTGTTCTGGTCGCTTGCAAACCAAAGTTGATACCTTACTGAGAGGAATACTCACTAGCGTTGCATATAATACACCTTTGTCAACAGCTGGGGATATTTTCAAAGCTCTCCAATTGCCAAACCTCCGTTCACTGTATATTCAAACTGTTATATTACGCAACTTTTGGAATAAGGATTTCAAAACACCATCACTTACGTCTCGCTCATTGCGATGCACCCCTCGTTTCAAGGTGCCACGTTGTTGGACCCGTTATGGTAAATGCACGCGCGATTATTATGTTCCGAGTTTATTCAACGCTCTGCCGGACTCAATCCTGGACATCACCTCACTGAAAGCATTGAAGAAGGAACTGAAATGTGTTGACTTGGATATTACTTAGTGCAAGCCTAGTACCAGTGTGTGCATAGTGAATTTGCAGGGCTATTATTTTTTTCTCTGGCCCCTTCTTCTTCAATGATTCTGAAGACATTTCTATGTCTCCTGGCATTTTTTTTTACATTTATTTGCTTTTCTCGTGCCATGTAGTGTCATTTTGTAACTGTGTTTCATTTTGCTTTCTGTTTTTTTTCTTGTTTTTTTTATATGTGTATTAATTTGCTTATTCACTCACTGATTTTTTTTTCTTTTGTCACTGTCTGATGACAGTTACGACTTTTCCTTCTACTTTTCTTTTCCTTGATATGTTTTCCCAACGTCGTGTTTCCATTCAGTATAGTTCTGCTGAAAATGTTTAGTTTTTACTTACTTTTTTTTTTTTTTGCTAAGATTAGCGGCATTTTTGCTTGTCGCTGATGATACTTTCATTTCCATTGGTCTAATACAGGGGTGGCCAGGCTGACCCGGCCTAAGAGCCGCAAACGAAACCACGAAACTTCCAAGAGCCGCGGGGGGGGGGGGGGGGGGGGGGGGGCAAATTTAAATGTTTTCAGAGTCTGACTGCACGTATAAGTGCACAAGGCTGTACGACAGTACAGCCTTGTGCACTCATACGTTGTAAAGTAATACGTAATAGAGTAGCCAAACCGCGAGCCATACTTTATTCTGCCTGAAATCCCTTTTTTTTTTTTCCTGGGAAAACGCGGAAAGGGGCGGGGGGGTCCCTTTTTTGGGATCCGCGAGCCGCACTTGGACCAGCAAAGAGCCGCATGCGGCTCGCGAGCCGCGGTTTGGCCACCCCTGGTCTAATAGTTCTGATGACATGTATGTATAGTTTTCTCTCCTGACAATGTTTTCCTTTGCTTCGTCGTGTTTTTTTTTTTTTTTCTACTCTTGCATTTTGCCGATACCATTGTTCTTTTTTATTCTTTTAGGGCGTCATCACACAAGCCTTTATCTGGCTTTGATGTGCCCATACATATAACATTGCATTTCTGATGGGCAAATAAAAATTATTATTATTATTATTATTATTATTATTATTATTATTATTATTATTATTATTATTATTATTATTATTATTATTGACTTTGTGTTTACTTTTTATAATTTTTAAGTGTATTTTTCTAGGGCTTGTCCGTTGTTTGTGTTGTCCGTACTATTGCTTTATACCCTGTTCTGCCTTACATGTTAACACAGTGCACCTGTACCAAGACCGCAAGGTTGTTCCCGGGCACGAATAAAAACATTGATTGATTGATTGATTGATTATTATTATAATATTTGAGCTGCAACGCTTGACCCGTGTGCTTCGTGAGGTGAATCCGGACCTGGTCAGAACTGTCGTTTTTGGCCTCGGCTGCCAGGGCACGTTTCCGCCTTATTACCCTGCAGAGCTTTGTGTTCGTCCAAAGCCAGCTGTCCAGCAAGACCATCTTCGCGGTGAGCTAGTCGATTTCTCGTTTATCTGCACGAGCCTTCTGAGCAGAGATTGAACTGGTGCAGACCATGGCTTCAGGTGTGGAATGCGCTAAGTGCAGCAAAGAAATTCGGAACGATGGCAAACACCTGATTTGTGCGACCTGCAAGAACGCTTTCCATCTTACTAAAAACTGCGCAGCCGTTTCTGAATCAACGTTTACCGCCATGAGTCAAGTGAAGAGAGACAATTGGATCTGCAGGTCTTGTCGCAATAATGAGAGCCTCTCAGTTCCAAGCCCAGCGCATTTCAGTGCACCAAATCCATCAAAGGAAACTGGCTCCTTAAGGGAAGAACTAGCATCCATGAACGCAAAACTTGAAGCCTTACTCTCCCTGAAACAGAGCGTCGACTCCTTGGAAGTGCTCCCCGCCAAGCTTGACGAACTCCTCGCCCTGGGGCCTATTATTGAGTGCCTCCAGACGACAGTGAAAGACGTCCAAACATCGATTGCTGACTTCTCTGCAAAATATAACTCTCTTTTAACGCTAGCAACATCAAATAATCAAACGGTGAAAGCCCTCCAGGCCGAGGTCTCGGATCTCCAAGCCAAGGTACAGTCCCAAGCAGCAGAGATCCTAAAAATACGTACTGAGCAAACTGACAGCGAACAGTACTCGCGTCTTGCTAACATGGAACTGCACGGGCTGCCGACCTCTCCGGGAGAAAATCTCGTAGCGTCTATAGCCGAGCTCGCGAGTAATCTGTCTATTGCTAAGACATTCCAGTGTTCTGATAATCAGGAAGTACATCGCTTGCCAGGCAGGCGGGACGGGATTGCACCAGTCCTAATCCGATTCTCTTCAGTCAGTCTGAAGGAAGCCTGGATGGCTGAGCGTGGTGCCCTTCGTTTGCTGAGTCAAACAGGGGGCATCCCACAGCTTTACTTCAATGATAACCTGACCCGAGCGAACAAGGAGCTGTTTTGGCTAGCAAGACAGAAAGGCAAGGCTCAGGGCTACAAATTCGTATGGGTGAAAAGGGGAAAAATATTTGCCAAGAAGAGTGAGGAATTTTGCTCGAGTGTCAGATTTTCACAGACTTCGTAATTTGTTTTGAAGATTCTCTAGACTCATCCTGCACAGTAGTTCATGTTAATATCAGGAGCCTTCGAAAACATTGGAATGAATTCAAAGTAATATGTAGTGATATCAACACTTCAGTTGACGTTTTTGTTCTCTCCGAAATAATATTGCAGCAGAAATGACAAGTCAATTTTCTATGCCAGGCTATTGGCGACGTGCGCGACCGAAAGCGTCGCTGTGGTCGGCCTTTCACGATTGGCCCAAAAGCTGACTATGACGTTGGGAAGGGTATACCATCGACGGAAATAAGAAGAATGAAAGAACTTTAATTTCGACGGTGTTGGCAGTGTTCCTTTGAGAGCGAAATGATTTCAGGCTTCCACCATGCTATTTACAAACACCATCGAACGTGTTGTTCGCAAGGTAATGACGTCACAAGGGGGAACCATAGGAGGGCGCCACCAAAACATCTCGCCGCTAATAACAGTACATTTACCACTCGGCCATGTGGCAGAGGGGGTGGTATTGCAGTCTATGTTCGTGACAACTGGTCCATGAATAACCTAACGGTTACGTTCAATCACGCCGAATGTATTGCGCTCAATATCACAAATGAACTTAGCTCTATATGTTTTTTAGCAATATATAGGCCTCCATCAGAACACGTACGCGATTTTTTGGATGAACTAGATGGTGCTCTTCGGCAGTTGTCCACTTACGATCAATTATGCACCCTCGGCGATTTTAACATCGACATTTTGACCCCCTCAAAGCCTTCAGTATGCTCTTACCTCAACTCTCTCTGGTAACGGGATTAGCAGCTTGATAAATGCTCCGACCCGTGAAGAAATTCTCTCGGGTCGGTTAATCGTCTCATGTATAGACCATATCAATCTCCGAACTTGTTCACAAAGAGTCCGGTCAACAATTATCACACAGAAGCTTGCAGATCATTACTTTATTTCATGTCGGTGGTCCAATGTTAACCCTTCTCCGCAAAATAGCTTACTAGGCACTAGAACATCTGTTATTGACACCGCTAAATTTGATCGTCTTGTTTCTTCCTTCGACTGGAATTGGTTTCTTCAATCAGTTAGTTCCACGGACGAATACCAAAAGTTCGCTCATGTCATTAATATGTTTTACGTTTCCTCAAGAAAAGAAATCTGCGTTAAAAGACGTCGGCCTAATCACTACTGGTTGAATGCAGACATTTTGGCGGCAATAGCGGAAAAGCATAACTTGTGGGCTCGATATAGGCGTTCGCCTAGTAATACTGTACTTAAATCGAACTATCAAATTTGCAGAAACATGGTAAATGCTATGATTCGCTCAGCAAAGCGAAAGTATTTTCATAAAAAATTTTCAGAGTCTCGCTCGAACATGACACAGACTTGGATTCTCGTCAATGAGTTTCGTGGCAACCCTTCTACAAGTTCTGTTGATAACGTTTTGAAAAAAAACTTCGGTCCAAATCTTTCAACTGTTGTAAGAGATTTAAACAGTTTTTTTGCAACCTTTTCTGGTAAAAGCAGAGATTCTTCCATCACTTTCGACAATGTCGTCGCAGCTTCTGCTTTTCTTCCACCGCTCAGTGATGTCGACCTGCACTCGTTACTGTTTAGTTTCAAGTCTTCCAAATCTCCAGGCATTGACGGCATCCGAGTTTCCGATCTCCGCAGAAATTATGAGGTTATCAAGCATGTATTGCTTCATATGTTGAATGGCTTTATTGAGAGTTGCGTTCTTCCAGATGAACTAAAAACTGCTATTGTAAGGCCCTTATACAAAGGAGGTGGAGCAAATAAGATTGAAAATTACCGCACAATTTCTATATTACCAATTATTGTTCAAATCCTAGAAAAACACGTATTCCAAGTTATGTCATCCTTTCTAGACGTGCATAATGTCCTCTCACCTAGTCAGTTTGGTTTTATTCGGGGAAAAGGAACTCAACCTCTGCTGGAAGACTTTTCTGATTTACTCTTTTCCGGTTTTGAAAGAAATCTTGTTAGCTGTGCCCTTTTTTTAGACGTATCGAAGGCGTTTGGTACGGTCAGCCATTCAGTCGTCTTGAGAAAGCTGCATAGCTACGGCTTGATCGTGGCCCGTTTTTTTTCTTTTCTGTCCAATTACCTTTTAAATCGCTCACAGCTTGTAATTGCAGCTGAGTCCCGCAGTCCGCGAACAATGCTAAGAGCAGGGGTCCCCAGGGCTCAATTTTGTCTCCACTTCTATTTAATCTGTTCGTTAGTGATATTTCAACATCCCTCTCTGAAGCCAAGCTTTATCAATATGCGGACGATACCGTAATAGTCACTCGACATCTTAATTTTGAAAATGCCGCCCGCTCACTACAGTGTGCTGCGACTACAGTCATGGACTGGTTTCAGCGAAACCTTATGGATGTTAACGTAAATAAGACTAAACTTATCTGTTTCCATAATCCCCTTAAATACGTGCTTCTGGATTTCCCTTTTGTTTTACATCACTCAAAATGTGTACCACGCAAGTGTTTCATTGGAATATGTTGAATCTGTCAAGTACCTTGGAATTTTATTTGACTGCGGCCTAACTTGGAGTGCTCAATTCGTGTCACTTTATGCAAAGCTAAGGAGTGTAAGTTGTCTTTTATATAACACCAAATCGCTTATGCCGTTTTCTGTACGTAAAATAATCGCCCACACACTTGCATATAGCGTGTTAAGGTATGGGATTACAGTGTTTGGAAACTGTTCTACCCAGTGGCATGGTAAAATAGAGAGCATTTTAAAAAATATTATGAAAAGTGTATCTTACGGCTTGCAAATACCTGACGACAGTGACCTGTTTAATTTCCTGCAATTCCCATGTCTCAGAAGTCTTTTTACTCGAACTGTTGTCCAACGTTACTTTTGGTTGATGATTTCAGGAGAGAAAACGTACCTACTCATTCCCTTCGTTTTCAAGAAACATTTAAAGTCCCTTTTGTCCGTACTCGATATGGTAGGAATACGCGCGAATATTATGTGCCTGAGACGTTTAACAATTTGCGCTCTGAAATTCTGCAGGCTAATTCTTTGAGCAGCTGAAAAGAAGTATGAAAGTTCATCTTTCCGGAGGAGAGATTACATAATGTTTATATTTAGTTGCGTATGTATTTGTGTACGTATTATTCATGTTTTGTGCACTCCTAACTGCTTTATTCTTGTTTTTCACGTCCACGTTGCTTTATTTTTGCGAATTTTTGTACTAACTTTGTTCTTGGTCGTTTCACAATTGTGTCTATATTTACTACATTTGCATTTGTGTATATATTAGTCATCCTGTCTTGTGCACTCCTAACTGCTTTATGATCGTTTTCTTTCCCGTTTTCTGCTTTCTTTGTGCTAATTTTTTTACTGACTGTGTTCTTGGACATTCAACCTCTGTCTCTTTCTTTTTTTTTTGGGCGGCGTCACACAAGCCACCGTTGGCTTTGATTGCCCCCGCACTCCTGTATGAATTTATGAATGTTCCTGAATACAAATTTATTATTATTATTATTATTATTGAAACTCACGATCGATACTATGCGCAACACCATTAATGAAATGCAAGCATCCCTGAATTTTGTTTCTTCTCAGTATGATTCGCTGGTGAATTCGACGCAAGCCCACTAAAAAGCTGTCAAAGAGCTTCAGACAGAAACCAAGGCCGTGACGTCATTAATATCGGACCAGGCGCTTGAAATACAGCAACTGAGAGCGGTACAGAACGACGCCGATCAATCCAATCGTACGTCCAACCTTGAAATCCATGGCATTCCCTTTCAACCAAATGAGAATCTTGGAGGCATTCTCACTAACCTTGCAGGGCAGTTGAGCATTGAAGGCTTTCGGCCAGCGCATGTCGAGAAAGCACATCGCCTGTCTGCTAGACGTGATGCCGTGCCCCCCATACTGGTTCGTTTTTCATCGTCTCCACTAAAAGAACGCTGGATGATGAGTCGTGGCCGCTTGAGTTCTATTCCTTCCGGAGACTCACAGCCTCGAATCTATTTCAATGACAATCTTACCGACTACAACAAAAACCTCTTCTGGATGGCGAGAACCAGAGGAAAGGAAAAGGACTATAAGTTTGTGTGGGTTCGACATGGACACATTTTTGCCAAAAAATGCGAAGGATCAACTTTGCTTCGTATTATGAATGTTGTTGATTTGGAGCAAATAGTGTAGACCCTAATGGCGCATTTTTTTCAGTTTAAGTGTAGTGTAGACCTTAATGGCTCAATTTTCTCAGTTTAAGGACCTCAAGTCTTGCTCTGAACACTTTAATGTGAACCCAGGGACATCTTTTACGTTATTCCATGTCAACATAAGGAGCTTGCACAAGCACTGGGATGAGTTTAGATTAACCGTAGATAGCGTGCTTCCGATAGCTGATGTGATCATTCTCACAGAGATTAATATCCACAGTGACGACATTGGACAGTTTTTGTTACCCGGATTCAACAATTTCTTTTATACTCGCGATAAAAAGCGCGGTGGTAGTATTGCTGTTTTTCTCAAATCCACATTGTTTTATTCGGAAATTTCTGTATCATTCCTATCGTGTGAGTCACTGGCGTTACGTGTCTTTACTTCTACATGTGAACTCTACCTACTGGCAATTTATAGACTCCCTTCGTATAGCATTCTTGACTTTCTCTCCGAACTTCGCTGCTGTATACAGTCGTTGCCACTCACTCCACCTCTTTGTCTTACAGAAGACATTAACATTGACCTCTTAAAGCCTTCCAAAGCTATTGTTTGTGAATACCTCACTCTATTGGCCGAATGCGGAATAGAACCATCTATTCAAGCCCCGACAAGAGAAGAATATCTAAACACAAGACTTGTCAGCTCATCCATTGATCACATTAACCTAAGGGCACCTTTCTCAACAATCAAATCAGCCGTTATAACCCAGAAACTATCAGACCACTACTTTATAGCCTGTCAGTTGGAATTTCCTGGTGTA